CGTTTCAACTTTGTGTTTGTTAAGGGCAAATATATGTTTTGTCTTGTTTTCTTCAATTTCAGATTTGCGATTGTTGACAGCAATATCCACATGTCTGCGCCAGTCCTCTCCATGTTTAACTACAGCTAACGTCAGTTCGTTGTAGTTTTCCTCAATAACTCCTTCTTGTATCTCTAATTCTGATACTAATTTTTCATATTTGGGGCTTATAACTTCCTCTAATAACTTTAAGTCTTTCTTCAATAGTTCTTTTCTGGAAGAAAAGTTTTCCAAAGTGTTTGATATTTTATGCCCTTGATGTTTATCGGAAGATACACAAAGTAAGCAGACAGGAATGTCACAGTTTTCACAATAAAGTTCACAGTGTTTCATTTCATGATCTCGGCAAATCGGCAATTTAGGAATAAAACCTCTTCGGTTAAAGGGCACCACTTTATGTTCTGTAGATAAATCTGAAAGATGTTCTCCAACACAGAGTTTACAGAGATTGACTTGACAAAAGACGCAGTACATCAGTGGGATAGGAGTATCACACAGAGTACAGCGCAAAATATCCTGGGCACTCAATCTGGGATCCATCGTGAATTAACTTTATTGTGGCACTGACCTGTAAACATATATATTAGATTTGATAGATCCTCTTCATATAAAGGAAAGGGGCGTCTTTCAGTTGAAATCTATTACTTTGAATCTTAAATAATACTATCCATCAAATTTTAAAGTTATTTAGATTTGATTAACATGGTCATCATGTACCCTTAGTAACACAGTGAATGTTCTTCCAAAAATGAGAAGTAAAGAAAAGGGCGACAGCACTGTGGCATAGATAAGAATAAAACTATTCGATTAAAAAACCTTTTTGAGCCAAAATGTTTATTTTTTTTGATTATCAATTCAATTTCTCAAGTAGTGATAAAACTACTAAAAAACTTTTTGAGCCAAAATGTTTATTGTTTTAATAGGAATTAAATTTTTCGTAGTGATCACTATTGTGAAACAAGTAAATCATAAAATTAAGTTTATCACCGTGGTAAATGAAAGTTTTCCTTGTTATTATGACACATATGTAGAAAATAAAAAGGTTCAAGTTATCATTATTGTAAACTATAGTTTTCACAAAGTCAAAGTCAGCACTATAGTTAACTATAGTAAACTAAAGTGAACTAAAGTTTACGCTATTTTTTTTTTGTAAAGGGAATTTAAAAGAGAAACGTAGAATAATAAGACATGCAGAAATCATTGATTTTTTTTGCAAAGTAAAACAATTAATACGTGTAACGTACTGTACATAATTTGGCGTATTAAAAATAAAGCATAATCACGGGGTGTGGAATTGTTGGTGTAATCATGAATTAGCGCTACATATATCCTTTCAGTGCATTGTATAGGTAAATGATTTCTTAGCGGTATTCATGTATTAACGCATCGTTGTCAGCACCAAAGTCGCTAAAATATGAAGCCCGCTTTTTAAAGTACACATATATTTATGACTGTTTCTATGAATATATAGAAAATTGACTTTGCCTCTATGGAAGGTAATGTACATCAAAGAAATGTTGTTATTCTAATAGAAAACGATGACCAACTGTTACTCTACTAGATATGATCTTCAATCAGACGAAGGAAGATTATCGTCTTGTACAAATTGTTATCATCATCACTCTTGGCAGTAGGATATTAATTTAAAGTTGTCTCTAACTTTGAAACTTAAATTTATCTGATACGTGTGGGTGATACAGGCCGTTGGATAAACATATGCTTTATCAACGGGTAGATGCTTTATCAATAGCACTTCCGGTTTTAACACGATCCGTCGCTTCAAGATTTTATTTTATTAAAACTTTTATTTGTGAAAATTATTGCCCTTATAAAATGAATAATAAAGGGCAGTAATATCGTTAAAAGCAAGACAAAGACTCGTATATGTCAAAGAAGTGTCTTATTTTATCAAGAACCTGTATTGGCTAATTTAAAATAGATCTTACACCCCCCCCCCCCTTCTTAAATCGTTTTAAATCGTTTTCGGAAAAGGTAAAGACTAGCAGTTAGATGTTGTTATAAGATTTATAATGCTTTCTTATATCATACAACGTATGCCCACCTAGTACATGTAATGTAGGTGTAACTTATAATAGATCAACAATGAATCTACAAAGCCTTGCCTAGCACGTTTTGTATTGCTGCCATACAAAGAGTTAATTTTCCCGATCCAATGGTCCTTACAACTTTCAGTCAGAAGTTCGTTTGATGTAAAGATCCAGCAATTGTCTCATAATGTTTTCAAAGACGCAGATAGCAAAAAAATTAATTTCTGAACACGACCTACTTTCTTTCGAAGCATGTCAACATCAACGGTGCTTCTTCATCTACATGTAGTTATACGTCATCAATTTGAATTGGCAATCATTCATGTAGTTTTGCAGGGGAAGTCTCAAAGTTTTGTTAAAACGAAAGTTGTATGAGATAAATAGAACATCTATATTTGTGTGATTTTATACTGGCTTTATCCAACTCGTTAAAATAGTGTATGTTCGCTTGGCAAGCCTCGCGAATATATACACATATACACCATTTCAACTCGTTGGATAAAGCCAATATCAAATCACACAATATGAATATCCTCTATATAACTATTCCTTCTACTTTCAGTTCTTTGAGTTCAGTTCGGTTGCCTTAGTACGCGTCATGTGTTACACTTGAATTTATCATGATACATTGTAAAATACAAAATATACTTGCAATTTGAAAAAAAAATCCTACCTTTTCAGTTAAAACACCTTTAATACGAATTTATTTTAGCTCCAAACATATTCTTATAATATTGTCTAATAATTTTTTTTAAACAAGTACAAGACCGCTTTACCTAACTTATCGATTTTTAAATGCGTTTTGTTATCTCAATGCATGGTATAAAGGCTATCGTATGCACCGTTTAAAATGATTCACGGACCAGATAATGCGTAGATCTTTGTATTCTTATTTCAGTCCTTGATATATATTTGCATTGCCCATCTACGCCTTTACATTATTGGGTTACTGCATAATTATCTTTTTTATCGGAATTAAATATATTATGTCTTTATAATCGATTACACAATTAAAGACAAAATGAGCACAAAACACTAAACTCGTCATCGAAAAATAACTTCTCTGCGTATATATAACCATTAATTAATTTGCAAGCAATGCAAAAATATTAAGTACAAAAAGTTGCCTGGTTGATGTAACGGCACATGTCGGTTCATACATCATGTCTTCAACAACAATATGTACACATATTGTCGTCCATTGATAAAATTGTGTCGCCGACTGAATATATATGCAGAGCAGAGATTTACATATTTGATCATGAACTGGCGAAGGTACATGTAGGCCAGCTTTTGGTATACAAATTAGTGTTTCACATTTTTGATGACCACAATACTTACTGATTATATTTTGGTAGTCTAAGGAATATATTAGCGAGCGCAGCGAGCGTCGCGAAGCGAGCTTAATAGATTAACGTGTAAGAACAGACCCAATGTCCTTTGGAAAATCAAAAATAGTAAAAAAATTAAAGATTGATTTTGCCTTACCTTATTCAAAAACATACCCCCATGCCACAACACCAGCCTTCACCTTGCCCTTCGGAAATGATACAAATGACGTCACCGGAAACTTACGAATTTTGACGAAGTTATGTCGGTTGCTTCCGTGAAACTCGGAAAACATAGCAACATGGTGGCTAAAACATAGCAAAGAACGATTTAATGCAATCTCTTTTCCAAATTTCTCTGTGCAACATTCCCAGAATTCCTGCACTTTTTATCTCTTTTCATACTTTCGTCACCCATTTCCGATTTCTTCCGAGAAGTTTGGATGTCCTTTGTTTTATTCTTTTTGCTTTCTTTTTCTTGAAATAAATAAATAATAGTACGTAAAGCATATATCAGACTTTCAGTTTGTAGAAATTTCTTTCAAAGAAATAAATAAATAATAACAAATTAAGCATAATTATATCAGACTTTCAGTTTGTATCTTTCAACTAACTCTGCAATGTTTTTCGACAAAAATTGCACTAGTTCCATAGTTTCAAACAGACGCTCGGCTGTCTCCGTAAGCTCCGACGAGCTTTGTGATACGACGTCACAGCTAGTCGAGAAGTCTCGTGTGGCTTGACGTTCAAGTGGCTGATCTCAAGTGTTTTTGATGGTACAACTGCGCTCGCTCCAACGGTCACACCGTAAAACATATTATTAATTGGTGTTTATATCACACTGACGTGTCTGGTAGCTATTTTGGCTTGCCGTTATTGTAAGCGAGTCGTCCTCCGTCGTCAGGCTTGGATGGCAGCATTTTCTCCATAATTTTGAAGATTTTTAAAAGTTGGTTTCATTTTGTAATTAATAAATCTATTTCCCATGCGTTTTTTTTTTCAAAATCATTATTGTCATAAGCAGAGTGAGGTTACACATGTAACGCATGTTCTAAACTTGATTTACAATTTCAATTTTTCTAAATTGGTGCTCTGAAGTTTAAAATAAATATTCATGCAGTTGCCAATTAAATTGCCATCTTTTTCTGAAGTTGTAAGTCTTACTTTTCTTATTATTCATCGGAACTTAGGAAAATATCTTACCTAATCTTACCTAATCAAAGTAGAAATCTTGTTTGTAATAAAAGAAAAATCATCCACATCATGCATCAGTATTTTAAACTTGCGGATGTCTGACGTCATTTTCGGAGTTTTTATGTCATAAATATTATAAAGTGACGTCACAATATTTATAAGTTATTCTGATCCTTCCAATGTTATCAAACTTAATAATTTTCCTGAAACGGATACTTTTTTATTAAACAGTTGTCAGAACTTTTGAAATGCCCCTCCTATTAATTCTTATTGATGTTACCTCTGTTTTTGGTTTTGTTAATATCACAGCCACACACCTACACCCCCCACACATACTCTCACACACATTAGCCCATGAACACATTCAAACTAAACCATCAACCATGTATCTGTAAAAACAATATTAATTAAATTATTTTTGTGGGGTAAATAAATCGTTCCATCACATCAACGATATATTTGTAAAATCAATATGAATAGTTGAATTATTTTCAAATAAAGCGGTTTATAAATGAAACTTGTGCCTACATATTGTTTAAACTTTTTGACGAGAAAATAAATGCAAGAAATAATTACAAGCATGTTTGTATGTGAATAAATAGTGTGTTAATTTTAGAATACTCTGACAGTTTGACGTTTTCCCTTTATTTAACAAATCAGCTATTCATTGACGGATGAATATTATTTCAAAATTTTATATCAGAGGATTTGATATTCTAAACATAGCTGATTTGATAATGAACAACAAAATCTTATCTCTCGTGCCACACATAGCCGAAAGGATGCAGTGAAGAGCCATAAATATTCCATCCTTGTCTGGGTTTTGATAAGGTTAACATTATGCAATACAAATATTACGTTTTAAAAATAATACTTGAATTTCACTTTTTTTTTTGCTTTTTGTTCAAGAAGGAAAAAGAAAAAAAAGGAAATAATATGATTTACATATTTTTGTTTATGAAATCATAACAATGTATTATAAGGCAAATGTAATCTGCTCTAGATGTTTATAATGCATATGATTAAGTTTATAAGGAAACTCAAGGCACTAAAATGTTGCGTCTTCAGGAAAATAGGTCAATTCAGGCGTTGTTAAAATCTTGTATCAATTTAAATATTTAATTTTCTTAACTTTGCTGCTGTGACATTCAACAACAAAGAGATTATCCTTGATGTCTACACATAAGCCCCAAGGGCAGAGAAGATCGCAGTTATCAATATAACGAATGAATTTGCCGTCCTGGTCTAAGATGTGGATGCGGTTTTCATTAACGTCTGTGGTCAATATATGACAGTAAGAATCAGAAGCGATCCCAATGGGACAGAATCTTTTCTTTTTACCAGCTGTAGGGTGTCCAGTGTATCTGAATCGGAAGAGTCCAGCTTGGTTAACCACCACTACGGCCTGTGCTTTACTGTCGGCCACACAGATATCCAGGTTCTTATTTTCACATATGTATTTACTGTACACTGTAAAACTGTCTATAGAGAAAAGCGGTTTGCCGTGTGTATCATATTGAATTGTCTGTGTTTCTACTGAAGCTTTACATCGCACAATCTTTGAATGTTTCTTGTTCCTCCCTAATGTGATCAGAAGGGCGCCGTTTGAGGAAACGCATATGTTGTAAGGTGTCCAGTCCCTGAATCTGATAAGCTCCTTTATTTGCTCATTAATTACTTTATAGACTGCTTTAAAATCCCGGTCAGTGTAGATTAAGTTACCACTTTTTGACACAGCTATATCATAAGGTGCATTTCCTGATCTGGTTTGAAAACCATTCACCAAGGCATCCTTTAGATTATATAGCTTTATTAGACTTTCTTCTCCACTTATCCAGACGCTTTCATCTTTAAAACAGGTAATGTTGTGAAGGTTTGTAAGTTTTGTGTTGATAGTGGTGATAAGTTGAGGATCTGCACTGAAGACATCGTCATTTTTGGAGTGTACCTCTTCTGCTGACTGTATGTCCCTTTCATATAGAACGGAGAATGTAGTTAGAGAACCAAAACATTGACGAATCAAATGAATGTGCTCTTCCTTTATTGTGTTAGGGGTAAACGTTGGTAACGAGCAATTTGCTTTTACAGGTAATACTCTAAGTCTATCATTAATGGAGTTGTAGGAAGTAGTTACTGCAATATTATTGGAATCAAGGGTTTCTTTTACAGACACAACTTTTTGCTCTAGTTCGTTAATAAGTCTTGTAATCTCAGCTTCTTGTTTTTCCAAGATCGCCAAATGTCTATGTTTCATTTCGTCAATTTCACTTTTCTGTTTGTTGACGATCAACTCGATTTCCTTGTGCCAGTTTTCGCCTTGTTGGGTTACCGCTGATGTTAATGTCTCGTATTCACTTTCTATCTCTGATTTTTCTTCATGTATCTCTGATTCCATTTCTTTGTACTGAGGGTAAAGAACGGTCTCTAGTTCTTCCAGGTCCCCTTTCATTTCTTCTTTCTTCTTATTAAATGCTCTCAATTCGGATTCCATTTCTTTATACCTTGGATACACATAACTTTCACCTTCTTCCAATTCCGTTTGAAATTTTAACTGATCGAATGTGTATTGACGCTGCTGAAACGGAACGACTTTATGCTTTGAAGATAAATTAGAAAGATGTTCCCCCACACAGGCCTTGCAGAGGTTAACAAAACAAATGTCACAGTAACTCTGTACCTTTTTGATATCACACTGATCACAGTTCACAGCAACCTGGGCCTCGGGATTATCCATTGTTCCTATATACAAGAATGATTTAAAATGTAATAGTGTATTAAAAGAAATCTTCGCCCGTTTTATTATTTAAAGAACACAGTATAAATTCTTAAACAGAGCTGAGACTTGGCGTATTTAAAACGGGCCAAATTTGTAAGCAAGTGTAAAAGGGCGAAAATAACCCTATATATAGTAATCATATCTAGTCATATTGCAGTCTAATGACATTCATGATTGTTACCTTTTGTTCTGTTTAACTCCAAGCATGCATTCTCCATGTGCCACAAAAATACACAGTGACACCTGTTTAAATATGGATATATGTTCAGACTGTTATCAAATGACTTTCCATTGTTCTGAACAAAAAGTAAATATAGGTGTAGATTTCACATGTACAGGTATACTGCATCTGATTAGATTACTAGATACATGTATTTGTATTGAGAATGGATTACCCTGATCAAATATCTCCACTTGCACATTATCAGTAAATATAGGTTTAGAATAAATGACTGTATACCTGAAATAGTTTTCTTTTTAATGGATTTCATTTATATTGACATACAAATTGCTAGACCATGATTTTCTCACTGAATTGTGTACTGATTAATTTTTAATGTTTATTCGATCTTTCCAAGAGCGCACGGCGGATGAAGCCAGACAGAAGAGATCGGTTACTCCTAAGTAGCACATGAACGCATCTGTTTTAAGTGGTTCATGTTTGATTTGCTCACAATTAGCATTAGAACATACACGTATCATAACCGGGTCAACCTCATTCTGGACTCCAGCCTTAATTTTTGTTACATGTATTTCCCAACCAGCAAAGGTTTAGGAAGGCAGAGTCCCGAATGACATTGGGCCGATCATGCATATGTTTGTTATCCACCAGGATCTTATTAAATTCCGCAGTGAGAGGTAAACCAACTGAACAACTCTTTTACTCCTCTGTTGACCAGTGACCAATTATTTACGAAAGCTCTTATTTCACCCCTCTTGGAAACTGGTTTGCCTGTATAAATACAACAGAGAAGACAACTCGTCGGAATTTCTCTTTATTTTTACAATCCATTTTATATTTTAAACAACTTCATTCGACACAAAAAATTGTACAAGAAATATTAAACATTATAAAATATCTTTTCCTGTAAAGAAAATGAGCCAACTGAAGCTTAACAATCTGAAACTTAGTTTTTATTAAAATTATTTACCGAAACTTGTAAAAATCTCTTACCTGTATAAATACAACAGAGAAGACAACTCGTCGGAATTTCTCTGACGAGAAATCTTTCCCCGTCGCATTTATACTACTCCTGTGTAAGAGCTCCGCCCTGACCATATTTGTTATTTTATCAAAATTTTCAACTACAAACATCAATTTGCGACTTGAATTTTTACTTACACTTCTGTACCTCTTTATCCTTTTGACTTATGAAATACCGTTTAAGATTCATATTAAACTTCTTGCAAAATCTTAACTTTTTATCATTTTGTTGATAATTTATTCCAATGGTTGACCTTTCGCCTGTTACGTAGGATTGGCTGTCCCTTTCCCTATGACCAAAAATGACCTGACGAAATCAAGTTTCATCACCCTCATGCAAACACGCTCACCGCATTTCTCAGGTGATAGGTTCACTCAGCATCTTTGACTATTTTTATCTGATACTAGGAAATATCGATCCCCTCGTGTCCTCTCGTTTCTCTCACACACTAATTTGTTTCTATTTTTAAGTAGGTCTTGTTATGATACTAGGAAGTGAATGTCCTCTCGTTTCTCTCTCACACAAATTTCTGTTACATATTTATTTTTATGCAGTTTTTGTTATGATAAATACCCCCCCCCCATTTAGTAAAAATCTTGTCCTCAAGATTTAATTTGAACCATTCTAAAAACCTGTTTTTGTTAGTAATGAAGAACTGAGGAATTTAAAATTTTCTATAATGTCCTCGGGCTCTTTGCAGTGACTCAGATGAGTATGCAAAAAGGCATCCTTCAATAGTGCATATTTTGGATTGGGCTTGTATTTACAAAACCTTTCCTTAAGGTCATATGATTTTACATAGTACTTATCAAAATTTGCATTACAGTGCAAGCAATATACTCCACTTCTAACATAGTGTTTACACTGATAATGAACCCTTTGCGAACAACATGTTACCAGGTACATATTATTATACTGAGGACATAAAATGTCGCAATACGCGCATTTAAAATTTATATTAAATGGATATCTCATAAAAATCTGCGGTTCATAATCATAAATTGATGTCCGTAGTTGCTCTCTTACAACTTTCTTTAACCTGTTCTTGGAAAAGGTATTTACTGATTTAGTTTGAATTAATTCCAAAACTTTCCAAGGGGGTAATCGGTATAAATTTGAAACTTTTAACAAATAATCAGAGGATATTTCCGAATAACCAAAATGATTAAAATATATAACCAGGAGATCAAATGATGTGCCATGACTATGTTCTAAAGTATAAATGTTTAATAAATAATACAAATAATCAAATGCAAAGAAATCAGCAAAAAGTATTAATTGCCAGTAAATGAATGATGTTTCAAAACTTTTTGTAACACAAAAATGTTGAATAAATTTAAATAATTTCTTAAAAGTCATGTTTCGAAATAAATGAAACATTCTTTTTATAATTTCTTCATGTACAATTTGTGCTGGCAATGGCGTATACAGAATTTTAGAATTTGTAAAGTGAAAATATTCAGAAACAACCTCCGATTGTCTGATCATCGAATTTGTGATTGGGATTTTGTAAGATTGCATAATTTTTTTTCTTCAGTTGGCTTAAACAATAAAATCAAAATTATTATATAAAGAAAATCACAACACACACAATCAAAATACAATTATACAATAATAATATAACACAAAAACAAAAGTAACGTATTTACAAGAGCCTAGGCTTTTACCTGGGTAGAGGCGGCAAAACTCCTTAGATTAGTGACCTGCAGTGAGAAATCAATCGTCTGTACGCTTATAACAATATCTGAGATAAAAAAAATCTTCGAACGCTGCTTTGAGCACTGACAATAAAAATATCTTCCTGCAGGGTTAAACACTAATCGCTTAACCCAGAAAAATGCGTTTCCACAAATTCTCTTTATTGATGTTAATTTACTAATTATCTTCTACTTTTATTCAAAGATAGTGTTGTTGACTTTTCGGCACCCTTATTTTAAATTATTTATATACTTATTAATAACAAAAGCAGATTATGCTGAAAATGCATGGTATAATGATAACAAAAACATTTATTTACTGAAGCTAAAAAAATTCTGAAAACAAAATGAGCGATCGCAAATAAATTCGAATTCCGTAAATATATACATTCTGTATTTAAAATGCTCTGAAACATTTATGGTACACAAGTATCAATTTACATATAACTAAGACGAATATATTCACATATGTCAACCATATACAACATTTAAACATCTATACGAGGACATAAATACAAATAAAAATGGATATGTATATACCCCTGTATACACATTCCTAAACACACACATGCACATTCCGTTATATATTATTGTCTTATGACAAAAAATTAATAAAATATTCATATAAATTATATTGTTATTTCATTGTTTATTCTTTAATATTTTATATCATTATTTTAAATTTTTCGCATATGAATTCGACCTAACCGTTATTCATACACTTGTGTATGATATGATTCCGAAATTACCGTTAATCATATCAGTGTTACCGAAAGTTACAAATCGAAACTATGTATATACATATATCATATATTAATATAAAATACATATACACATATGCATAACCTTTTTTTTTTTTTTTTTTTTTTTTTTTTTTTTAATAGCCAACAATGAAGACGAAGAGTTTATATTATTATTATTTTTATATAGCCAACAATGAAGACGAAGAATAAATACCCTTGTGCTAACATCCTAAAAATAAAAAAAAAAATTGTGCCTGAAAAATTTCTTTTAACAAATACCGTAAAACATTACTTCTGGAATTTAATTGTAATTACATTTCTGTTAACAAGCCCAAAATAAAAAAAAATGATAAAAAGAATCAAAAGAGTTGTGATCACAAAGAAAAGAACATATTGGAAAAAATAATAAAAATATAATGTTAGTTCACATGAAAAAAATAATATGGAATATATATATATATGTATTTTTTTCTCATTTTGTTACAAAAAAAAATCAGTCTGTTAGCAGAGGAAATTTCTAATACCAATAACAAATTATTTATCCACAAAGCGTTTTACCAAAGGGATTTGAAAGTGACTAAAGATTTAAAAAGAAAAGGAGGATTTTATTTTTAGAAAACATTTGGTTGTAATTGTTTCTGTGCCGAATTATTGCCAGAATTGCTTGTATTATTAATTTTAAGAGGGTAATATATATTTTGATGTGCCACTATAACATATGCGCAAAAGGGTTGAGTTAATATTGTTTTAAGAGTCATAGCCTGGTAATATGAAAGAGAAATAAGTCCTGGAACTTCAACTGAGGTATTTGTTAATTTATCTGTAAATGCAAAATTGGGCCAATTTACTGTTAGTTTAGGGGAAATCAAGCCAACAACAGAAATATTGTCAATGGTAGTAGGTTGTCTTACATTCCAATGTGATAAACACATAGGGAGATTCAAAGCATTAATTATAATACACTGTTTTCCGTTAGTAATTTCCAACTTAACTACCGTACCAGAGCAATTGTAAGTTTTTAACATTTTTATAATAAGCACAAGCAGGATACACACAATAAACAGGAGTGCAAATGTAAAATGATCCCATTGAACATTTTCCTGCAATAAAGAGTTCCATAAAGTATTAGTTTCAGTGAAAGTAATCGGTTGTGTAAATTGAAAAGTTGGCGCTGCTGATGTTGTTTTTGTTAATAGCAACGCTGCAGTTATCGTTTTAAATTTATAAAACAACCAAATCAACCAAAGGGTATGAAAAATTGTTAGTCCAAAAGAAATATATGTCAAGATATCATTAGTACTTGGCCACTCACTTTCCAATTGAATTTCACCATCTAACAATGGTTCTGCCAAATTTGAATAGATTTTGTTATCTTGTTTTGTTCGTTTTATAACAGTTTTCAGACTTAAGTCTAGAGTTTTATCATTAGCCAATATATCATTCATTTTATGCTTATAAATTTTGAAAGAAGGAACTTTAATTGATACAGCTTCTTGAAAAGTTGTGTTAGCAATTAGTGATGCTAGAGAATCTTCATGAAAGAAATGTTGAAGTAATGCTAAATTTACAGGATGCAACATAGTTATA